TTCATGGGTCGAACCAAACCGAATTGGTTTAAATGGTTCGGTTCGAAAGTGGTTCGGTTCAGTTCAAAACTCATTCGGTTCGAAAGTGATTTGATTCGGTTCGGAATTGGTTCGAGTCGATCCTCTTTTAAAAAGAAAAGAAAAAATTCAAAAATAAAGTTATAAAAATTAATTTAGTTCGATTTGAAAACGGATCGATTCGGTTTAAAAATGGTTCGATTCGGTTCAAAATGATTCGGTTCTTAAACTGGTTCTAAAACCGGTTTGGTTCATGAACTGATTCTTTAAAAACCGATTCGGTTCATGAACTGATTTTTAAAAATCGATTATTTTAAGAGTGGTTTGGTTTGGTTCATGGTTCGATTCAATCTTTTGATTATTTTGCATAACTCTAGAAATAACTATCTTTTACGTTTCTGCTCTTTTTCAAAACTTTCATCCAGTTATTAAAAAAAAAAATTCTATAAATGCTTTTTAAATTAAAAATACATTTTTTTTTTCTTAAAAAACACGGACAAACAAGACGTAAAACCTTTCACCCAGCGTTTCGTAAACTTTGCAAATTGCAAGTTACCATGACTGATGAGGGTCAACTAGAGCAGAAATTTAGGATGTCCACAAATATCACTATGCAATTATCGTCAGTTACAATTACCAATTTACCAGCGTTCCGTAAACTTTGCAAATTACAAGTACCATCGACTGTAATTGTTACTAATTGCTCTCCCAATAATTCTATACCATCCATCTAGTGTCATTGTTAGCCCCATACATATTTCATTCTCTACCTAGGTGGAAGAAACACTGTGTATGCGTGTGGAGCAAAAGCAAGCACAATCATACTAGTTAAAAGCCGATTGCGGTCTGTTGTGGCCAATCCTGAAAAACGCTATAATGCTATAACGGGTTGTGGAAATCGCAGAATAGATTAATAGAACCTAGATACACCACCATTGTTGTCAAAAACTAGTTACGTTTTTTACTAGAGTGGTGCGTGTTAAAACTCAAGTAAAAACTGTCACTGGTAGAAACGCCGCGTAAAAACGATAAAAACGGACGTTTTTACCGTTTTGACCATTTTTATTTAAAACTAAAAGTTTAATAAAAAAAACATTTACAAAAAAAAACCTAATTTTCGTTTTTCTCAAATCATATTCACAGTGCCTTAATATTTTTTTGTTTGGATATATGTTTTTTATAATTAGGTCTTATAAAGCTGCAATTCTATTATAAGTTGTGCTACGAGAATCGTGTTGTGTTTTTGGATCATTGAGTGCATTGAAAGAAGTAGAATTATATCCTGATGAGTAATGATCCAAAATCTGCAGGGTGTATAAAGCAGTTAGAGCGGTATTGACCAGACATTGACAGCTGAAGAAACAAATTACATAGAAATTAAATAGAACATATGCAGATGGTGTTGTATATATTATATATATCTCTATTCCATACCAGAAGGCACCAACAGTAGGCAAATACTCATATTGAAAACATAGAGGAAATAAGTCTGCATACTCATTAAAGACTGCAAAGGAAAATTTACAGATAACCTGAAAGGTGTTTAGGGAAAGCTAAAACACAGAACTAAAACGAAGGAATATACCAACACTCTCCAAGAAAGCAACCTTACATTTACTAGAGAGAACTACCCAAAATTCTTTTAATAAATTATTCCTCACTCTGCCATGTTAAAGTGAAAACGTGTCCTTCGAGATTCTCAGTGATCTTATCACCCCTAACCGTGACCACCTCATTATTCGGCCCCACAAACTTCAGACACTGATGAATGGTGGATACCTCTGCTCCAAATGCTAGGATGGAAGGGCGTCCCAAGATGATGTTGAAGGTTGGATTAGGAGAATCTACCACTAAAAATTTGACATTGATGGATTTGAAAGAGGATGGCTTCTTCCCCAATGTGAGGAGCAGTTGTATGGATCCCAAGGGAGTTGTCCTATTAGAAGCAAAATCCATCAGCACACCTTGAACGGGGGTGAGATCTTTCTCAGTGAAGCCCAGCGTCTTCAAGAAATTCAGGAATATGATGTCCGCACCGCAACCCATCCCGACAAACATCCCTGAGACTTCAGTGTTAGCGACTATGCCAGAAACTACCAGAGGGTCGTTATGGCCTTTGCGATCCTCATCCGTGAAACGCAGCACCGGGGTTCTGGAACTGCTGCCCATTGCTACCTTAGGGTTTTTACTTGCTTTCTTACGATTAATTTCTCTCTATAAAAGCCTGATGAAGAATAACAAATGAATGGGAAAACAACCCTATTATATAAAGTGATTTTTTGGTGCGGGACGAGAGATAAAAAATTTAAATTGAAGATAAGAGATGAGCAAAGATAAACAAATAATTCGAAAAAAAAAGAAAAAAAAAGAAGAAGAGACAAATCTAACCGATCAAAAAGATATAAAAATATAAAAAAAAAAAAATGAAACAAGAGATCAAGTGAAATAAATAATAATAATTCTTATGGACTGGATGTCGCAAAAGATGGGGTGTTTGGTACCAGAGAAATTTTTTGGTAATAAAAAATCACGATTACTGAGAATAGAATAGAATAGAAATTGAGTTTACTCGGAATGTTAAGAAAAAGATGTTTGGTTCGCCAAAATTTTACCAGGAATATTGGGTAAAAGTTATTGATTCCATGTTTGATTTAGGAGGAAATATGACTTAGAATCTCAAGTTATTTTACAGAAATAATCCTAACGACTATTTTTACTTTTCTAATTGATACACGTACCTCCACACCCGTTGAAAGAAGTATCTGTCGATGAACATCAGGTTTTGTTCAACATCTCTCCCACCTCTTCATGTGTTGCATCTGGTCTCACGACAAGTCTCACGCAGTGTTTTAAAACCCCACCCCGCCTCCAGGGTCAACCTGACCCCTCCCTTCTGAGGGTTGGGGTCACAAGTTGGACCATATATGCACATCGACTCCCAAAACTCAGCCGGGTTTCAGTGACTCCCGGGTCAGGGGCTCACTGCGTGTTTTTTTTTAAGAAATTTCAATGAAACAACGTCGTTTTATTTAAAAAAATAAAATAAAAATGTTTACAAACCTAAATCTAATCGTTCTCTTCTCTCCCAGCGACCTAGACTTCTGGTCTCTTGATACTTTGGTATCATTAGACTATGAGTTTTGTACTTTGGTATCTTGATACTTTAATTAAGTTGTGTAATATCGGTTATAATTGGTGAATTATGTTAAGTATCTTTTGAATCTTTGATGATTATTGATTTGTTTTTTAATATTTTCGTATAGGATATATATATTTATATTTTTTTAATATATAAAACTGGGTCAGCATAGTGACCTCGTGACCCTCCGATTGAACCCGTGCCCCCTGACCTCGGCCGGGTCAATGGTCGGGCCGGGTTTTTAAACACTGGTCTCACGAGCAAGATTAAGGTGGACTGTAGCAAAACAAAGACCGAAGACATGATAACAACTTGTTCAAGTGGACTGTAGCAAACAGAAAGGCCAATTTTATTATGTATGAAACTGTCAGAAACGGTGTGCAGGAGGGGTATTATTGTCTCAAAAATATGTTATATGCTTTTCCTTCCCTCAGTAATCATGAAAACCGCCTAATTTTTGATAATCCCAACAGTAACTTTTCTTTGTAAAATGCTTTACCGGTAAAGTCTAGATACCCAGGAATTAATTTTTGATACTTCTACCAAACATGGTAATTGACGTTTACCAAAGAAGATTTACCAGTAATCCTTGTGATACCCTTATACCAAACACCACCCAAGGGTATCTCAATAAGTTATTCATTAGGGAATTAAGGGATAAGTTCCCTATCTCAACAACCAAATCAGAAAAGCTAACAACAACAAGCTGATCATTAGGGAATTAATAGATCAGCTCTCAATCTCAACAACAAAATTAGAATAGCTAAGAATCTGGAGGTACTCAAGGCCTAAGGCAAAGAGGTAAGTGCTATAAATAAAGGTTAAAAATTTCAGGTATACATTTTGAACCTACTTTATTTCTAACATTGCATACATACCACGTCTTAGGTTATCCCCAAATAACATCTTGACGTCTTGGCTATCGTCGTGTATACAAATGCAGAGTGATCAATATATCCATATGGAATTTCTTTCATAAATATCCATGAGCGTATCAATCCTATATACAATACAATTAACATACCTTGAGTTTACATTCACGATTCACCCAAATCGAACAATGATGATGATGATGATGATGATGATAAATCAAGAGAAAGAAAAAATGAACATTGTCCTTCTACGTAAGTTTTAAAGATTTGCCAACCAAGGTTTGACAAAGTTATTGAATTTTATTTTATTTTTTTCGGTAAACTCTTGAAGTTTTACTCGTTGGTTGAATTGTGCTAATTTAGGGCTTAGAGTTGAGCCAATTATTAAGAAACTTGAATCTATATTAATGGGCTTTTATTATGATATTAGAGGCATCCATCCAATGATCCAATTGCAATAATGTTTTTTTTTTCCGTGTTAAGAATGGGATTTTACATCAAAATATGTTTTTCCTGAAATTTATTTAAATTTGTTAAACTCAATTTATTCTTTCTCTCGAGTTCATCTTATACTAACGCTTTAGATCATTAGATGTGATATATTTCGTCTATACTTGAAATGACAGAGAATTTATTTAAAAAGACAAAAAAAAATTGTATTGAAATGAGTTTTTTATTTTTATATTTTTTAAAAAAAATACTGTTTTCAACTTCTGAGAAAAGCATGGAAATAACTTTCTTTTAAATTTCTACTCTTTTTCAAAACTTTCATCCAGTTATTAAAACAAAATAAAAATAAAAAAGTTTTTAAAATTAAAAATACATTTTTTTCTTTCTTAAAAAGCACGGACAAACAAGACGTAAAACCTTCCACCCAGCGTTTCCTAAACTTTGCAAATTGCAAGTAACCATGACTGATGAGGGCCACCCAGAGCAGAAATTTAGGATGACCACAAAACTTCGTACACAAATATCACTATTCAATTATCGTCAGTTACAATTACCAGAGACACACAGAATTGAAGAGTAACATATATAGAGGAAATTGCTCTTATAATTTAAAGAACATCACCGCCAAATAGTGTCAAGCAATCCGAAATTGATGTCGTAGACTAAGTATACTTAATCTTTTTCAGCAACTAGGTAAGCATAAAAGAAAAAGGGAAAAAGACCAAGTCACCAAAATATTTAAGTCTATTCTATTTTCTCAACTTAGTCTGACAATATGATGGGAACTGAATACCGCGGAACCATATGAAGACTTATCAACATGACTCCTACACAACTATAGCCTCCACCATGTTAAACTTTCCTACCAATATCACCATCCAAAATTGCATGCCTAGTTAAAACAATCTCTTTGACAAGATTTCTGTAAGTGAAGGGTCTAACAGCTGCTCGCAAAAATAGCTCTGGAGGAAGTTTGCTCTTCTTAATCCTTTTTCTCCATGGACCTCTACCCACATACTTCCACTCTTCTGGACTAACCTTGGCTCTCTTCCCTCTCAAGGCAGTTTCATCTCCATCTACTGAATGTGCTGTTTCTTCCTTTGCTTCCATTGTCATCAATTGCTTCTTATATAACTTCGAATTGAACTCAACACTCCTTTTTACATAATTTTCCATTGCTTCTGCACTACTTGTTGCATTTTCAAACTCCTTCCCCCAGTCCTTCTCTTCCTCTTCCATAAGTGTATCGTCTTCCATGGCATGAAATTTACCATCTTCACTCTCTTCCATGTCCAAATCTAGATCTTGGTCTTCGTCGTCATCATCACTATCGACCAGCTCCTCCTCCTCATCCTCCTCGTCATCAGTAATGCCAGAATCATTATCACCTTCATCCTCAATCCAATCTAGAATCTCAGTTTCATCGGGATCACCAACATTAGCATCATCATCTTCATCAGGAGCATCACAACCCAGCTCCATCTCTTCCAACTTAGCCTTCCATTCTTTAGTATATGGATGTAACAATTGTACTGGATGATTGGTCAACAGAAACTCCAAACATTTTGACTTTTTCTCGTCACTCAATTTCTGATATGCATTGACTACATCATCAACAAATGACTTTTGATTCACCTTCACAATCTTACACAACCCACCAAAATAAGTACACAGCTCAACAGTACCATCATCGTTTTGTAACTCAAAAAGGAAATCCTCTTCTGTGCTAGGATCAAGAAATGGAATTATTGCCTTAAAAAAGTTATCCTGTGGTTCGAACCTACACTGGAACACTGGCCGCTTCACATATATAATATCAGGTCTCATCCATGCTGCACATTTCACTACCAATGACCTTGCCTTGTTCCCAAGTCTACCCATCAAGCTCCATTTATCTAATCTCTGCTTACCAGCTTCAAGTACTACTTCACTAACTAATGTCCACTGCTGCCAAGGAAGCTCTGAAATTCTCCACCTTGGGTGCCTTACGAATACCCAAAAATACCTTAATTTACTTTGATCAAGCTGCTTCACTTTTTCCCCAAAATCTGCAGCCATTTCAGATTGCTCAATCTCCTCCCACTCCTCATGATCCTTCACTTCTTTGATTATTGTCACACACTCATCAGTAAACCGACCGCGAATTGGCTCACCAACAACAACTCCACGCCAAGAGAAAGGTCCATACTGACCATATTTATACCAATCATACGGGTGACGTAAATTTGGATCATCCTTCTCCATGAACCGGACCATTCGATCATACCCAAGACCAATTGTTTCTAGCTCATCCTCAGAGAAGTTATTGGGATAATTCCCTCCTCCCCTTGGGTTTTTCAGCCTGTAGAATAGAGACTCAGCATATTTCTTGCTTTTTTGCCTGGCATTGTGCCTCAACCTTCTTCTGAACTCAGCATTGCCTTCAATTCGACCACCAGACGAGGAGCTACCACCGGACTTCTTGCTTCGACCTGCATAAGACCGGAGGTCTCTTGTGCAACCATTATCATGGGGAGTGTATGCTGGATTGTGGTCACAGCTTGGGAGTTTACTAAATGGTTTAGGGCTTTGGGAGAATGAGACAATTTTAAAGCGTTTCTGTGATTGGAATTTTAGGTTTGGAGACTTGTGGAAATGTCTAAGAGAAGAAAATTGGAGGTAAGCTGAAGATGGGTTCAGGGTTCTTGGCAAGAACTCACTTCTAAAATGGCTGACATCCATCTCAAAAAGCATCCACTAACGTTAGCTCTCCAATTAAAACCATACACAGACGACCTTCCAAACAATATCAACACAAATTCAGGGTTTCAAACTTGAAAAACAAGAAGCAATGTTCAAGGGCACTTCAACATCGGAGTTTGGCACAAATTAAACAATAAACTAGAAAAAAAAAGGAACGAAATTTAATCACAAAAAAACAAACTTTGCCGGCCCGTATCTCTCCACATGTTCACTTCGGTTGTTATATGTAACATGTCACTCTAAACAAGTGTCAACTAAATGAGTATGTGAAAAATTGAAGAAAACCCAGAAAATGCAACAGCAAAGAGGCTTAGAATCAGAATCTACTTATGCCAAACAATATAATTAAGTAAAAAGAGAAAAAAAAAAATTGGGGGTAAAAAGAGAGAGTTGAAGAAATAGGAGGGAGTGTACCATGATATATAAGGTTGCTCGAATAACGTAAGCCCCACACTACCGTTGCCTTCAAGGCTTCAACCGCAGCAGTACTATGGAGAGAGAGAGAGAGAGAGAGAGAACGCTATCCTTATTCCTTTCGAAACGAAGGCGGCGTTGATGTGTTGTCGCTCGGCAATTGCAATTGCAGAAAATGTAAGAACTCCGGAATTACCTTGTTAGATTTTATTTTATTTTTAATTGTAATAAATGACCACAAATTATACAAAGAATTCTGGAATTATCTGCTCGTTAAAATTTTAAACAATTAATGTTATATGGTTAAATAATTAAATTAATTTATTTTTTATTACTAAAAAATGATTGAATATCAACTTTTTTGATCGAAAATAAATAGGTCTTTATTTTATAAAAATTATAAATTGGTAGAAATTTCCTTCTTTTTTTTTTTTTCAATTCCTCTCAAATTTTGAATTGCAAATGTGCCTTTAGCCCCGCCTTGAAAAAAAGGTGAATATATGTCATTGACTATACATAACAAATATATAAAAATAGACCCACACCAACAAATATTGAAATTGAGATTTACGAGAAAATACAGCTCAAGTGTTTAAATCTCATAGCTAGCCATATCATTAAACACGAATGAATATATGTTATATAGACTTTTGATAAAATAAAATAAAAAGCCACACTTCAGAAGTCAGAAAAAGATAAACTCACATTTATTAATCTTGAATATTAATTGTGGATATATATATATATTTTTAAGGATTTATTGTTTATTATGTATGGTCAAGTCAGTATTAAACTACGTCGTTTTGTTTATTTATTTCTTTATATTTATTGATTCACCTTTAAATGGTTATGATTTACTTTTCTCTTTCTTTTTTTATCACCGTTGATTCACTTTTATACGGTTATGATTTAGTGACTGGACAAATGCTTATATCCAGTTACTTCACACTCATCAAACCCTTTTTTTAATCATCCTCAAATCATCTATTTTATATCGTTCAACACTCATTTACAAAGTTGAGAGAGGATACTATAATACTTCCCTTTCTATTTGTTTTCTCTTAATGCACTAAGATGATGATTGGAGATGAAAGAGTTTACACCGCTGCTTAATTGGCATATTGGCACCTTTGATAAATGAAACAACAATATTTACATAATAATCATGTCATCACATCTCATATTTAATGCTATTGAGCACGTAGAAGCGCGTCAAATAGCCAGTTAAAACCTGTTTGACTAGCTAAACTTATGGCGTTTGTCTGTTTTAGTTTTTATTTTTTATGTTTTATTTTTAATTAAAAGTTCAAGGGAGGTTTCCCCATTCCAATGGTTAAGCATAAGCGAATGCTTACGTTAGTACTTATATGTGATTCACCAATAATGGAAAACCAACAAGAATCAAATATTCCCTTGTGTGTCCTGGCTGGCAATTCTTAATTGGATCTTTTGCCTCCATATCTGCTTAGGTCCCCTTGAAGTTGAATTGCTGTAGTTTCTTCCTTGATTGCCATTTTGAAAACGTTGCTGTGGGTGTGGGGGTAGGTGCATGACACACTGCATCTGTGGCCGAATTGGGTAAGACTGTCCATCACTGTAGTTTGGAATCCAAGGTGTTCTGATAAGTTGAGACACCTGTGCTGATGCTAAGAAGTTCAGGAGAGAACTTTGATCCTGATTCTTTGAGGTAACTATGCCGTATGTCTCTAAAAATGCCTTGGATATCTTTTTAAGTTGTCCTGTGCTGACACATCTTGCAGTGTTTTGTGGCTGCTCAAAAGGATCCTCAACCTAACCATCCAAAGTACAGGTACAAACATCATTAGCAGAGCAGGAGAAAATATGCATGAGAGAGTCTAGTATTTTACACTAGAGCCTTGGCTCAGTCACTCTCTCTTTATGGGAAGCTTCAGACCGAAACACAGTTCATGTCATTCCATCAGATACTAAGTGCCCTTCTCAATTGCCATCTCCAATCATTATTAATTTTTTAGATATTCTTAACACATTACTATCTAGAAAACCAGACACTAAGGGCTTGTTTGAAATCTATTCTGAAAAACAATTTTTTGATTTTCAGAACAAAAAAACAAAACAAAAAAATCATTTGATAAAGTCTGTTTTGTCAAAAAAATTTAAAAAATTGTAACTTTTTTTTGATTTTAGAATCAAATTTAGAGAATATGTCTGGGTTGTTTTTGTTTTCTGTTTTGGTTTTTAATTTCCAAAACGAAAAAAAAAACATAGAAAATACTTGTTTCTATAATTATTCTACAAAACAGTTTTAAGAACAAAAAAATCATAATAGAATCAAACAGACCCTAAACTTTCTTCCCAAAGTATTATATTTTCCTTTTATAAGGGTAGGCTTTACTCCTACTAATGATGCCCTAATGGATTGATCTACATTCTATGCTTTTAATGTATTTGATAATAAATTTGATTTTGAACCTGCAGCAACATGCAGAAAATATACTAGTATAAAATAAAAGAAAATATTATTTTAAAGTGAGAAGAGTATTACTAATATAGCATAAGTCTTGGGCAACCACATCATGTTGTTCTTTATCTGTTCCCATTGACCGGTATATGGGCAAATTCCTAGCTGTGAGGCCCATGAATCCATCTGAGCAAACTGCAAGAACATACAACATGCTGTGATTATTACTGTTAAGTAAATAATGCCTGGACAGCCCTATAGATTGAGTAAATGCACTACCATAGTAAGTCTCAACAACAAACCCATATGAAATGAGTTTGCCTTTATAGAAATACACACAATATTGATCACAATAACATGCTCAATGGTATTAATTTTTTTATAAAAAACTATCAATTACAAACTTTATGGACGAATTCATACAAGTAACAAATAAAAATATAAGATGTAATATGGAGCGAACATATAAATATTGTTAACCAGCTCCAATTGAAAGCACAATTCAAGCGAACAATGATTTACCTTTCTTAAAAATTCAACAAAAAGTACAGGCAAAGATTTTCTGTTAATTGGCCTGGACTTGTCTGATAAGAACCTGTTTATGTTTGCATCACATGTTTCTGTGATAAGTTTCTCTGCGTCAGCCCTAATACCTGCATAAATTACACCCAGATAAAGGTTAAATTGTCTTGTTTAGGTAACTCGACAATTCTAAAGGCCACATCAGCCTTTTTATTATACACATGCAAGTTAACAATTCTAATTCACATCCTATCTTAAGAGACCTTGTAAGCATTTCCAATATCACTAGCACAGAATTTGAAAAGAAAAAAAGAAAATACGAGATAATGTTAAGTTCAACCGCCAATTTTTAAAAGGATCAGAGGAACATGCATAAAAACCACATATACATTTAGCAAGTTCTATAGTAAATAAAAAAGGGAACAGACTATTGTTCGATCAATGTTGGATTAAACAGGTATAAAAAATATAACATGGTCTCTCCTTCACCATCCATTCAACAATCACCCTGCCCCAGTCACTTATTGTAGTTAGAATCTTGGTAAGCCCTATAGAATAAGAAAAGAGAGAGAAAACAAAAGGATGCAAATGCGCGTTGTCTATGAGTCTGTGATCAGCCAGTCTCTTGTCACTTGTCAGAGTTGATTGTTCGTCAACCCCAAACCTACAAGCCACTAAATCTCCAACAAATATTAGCCTACCCCCAGAAACAGATCAATTCCATTCCACCAAATTATGTAAATCACATAATACAGACTATAACGTTCCATGAAATTTTTGGCATAGGCTCAATTCTTCATAGATTTGATCATTTGAAAAAGAAAAGCACAAAAGGGCAGAGAACAAGTAATGTGGGGAGAGAGACAGGTAGGAGGAGGAGCACTTCAACTCTTGACATTGCAAATAGTTGTATGCATTTACAGAATTCATAACATTGAATGCATGTACACAACCTGAACATCCAAAAAAAAGGTACATACTTCAGCATTCTACAAAGAGGTCCAATTTATAAGAAAATCACCTCAAAATCTAAAATCTTAGAAGAATGATGAGGATAATGAATTAATGATGCTTTGCTCCAGAAATCAAGGATGAAATGTACCTCTGAGATCATCTACCATATTGCCAGGGTATATATCTTTAAATGGTGGCAAAATTGCAGGAACACATGTCTGAAAATGAAGGGAGAAGTTGCATGCATCAGAACGACAAAGACTCGTCTATTAATTTTCAAAGAGAACAAAGCTAACAATTAAAGCATGTTATAGTGGATGTGCAACTGTTTTAAGCTAAAGATATATCTTTCTTCCAGACTATGAGACTGAAGGAACTATCAAATGGTTGAAGTTATAGTTCAAGCAGGAAGATGTAAAAGAATACACAGAAAATGCATATGACCTGTCTGAAAACTTTCAGCAAAATCCACATCCAAAAAATAAAGTAGTGTGAACAAAATATACTCCTAGTGTTGGCTGCACTATTCTCCCTCTCCTCTCCTCCTCAACCCCTCCTCCCTCAAAAGAAAAAAAAAAAAAAAAAAAAAAAAAAAAAAAAAAGAAGAAGAAGAAGAAGAAAAGAAATTAACACCACGCATTAAGGGGGTGTTTGGTTCAAGTTTTTGGAGAGGATTACCGGTAATCCTTCTTTGGTAAATGTAATTACCACGTTTGGTAGAAGGAATAAATTACGATTCCCGGATATCCAAGGATTACCGGTAATTTGATTTATAAAGAAAAGTCACTATTCAGATTACCAAAAATAATATGGTAATTCGGAATACCAATCAGAATACCAAGTAAAGGGAAAGCACAACAATAAATTTTGAGACAAAAATACCCCAATACACATAAAAATCTAGACCCAATCTATCAATTACAAAAGTAAAAATAGTTTGGGGTTATTTTTGTAAAATAACCTCATATTCCAAGTCATATTTCGTTCTAAACCAAATATGGAATCAGTAATTTTTACCCAGTATTCCCGGTAATATTTTGGCGAACCAAACACATCTTTCGTAAGATTCCAAGTAAACTCAATTTCTACTGAATTCCCATTAATCATGATTCCCGGTCACCAAAAAATTTCTCCTGTACCAAACACACCCTAAAAGATATGAAAAAGGGAAAAGTACCTGAAAGTGGAAGATTACAAGTAAACTGAGGGCGTAGGAGTTGAAAGTCCCAGCTTTAGAGTTATTGATTTTATGTGCTTTGGCCCATTCCTTAACCTACACAAACAGAAGCAATGCCTTAACAATTGGTTTGAAAGAACAAATCAAACAGAAGCAATGCCTCCCACAGAAACCATACTTCCTCAACAACAACATACCAGTAAAACCATACTGCGAAAGCGGTTGTCTATCTTGTGGATCCTTAACAAAATCTTGGACTTCATTTGGTTCTGCAGGCTATCAATTGAAACATCACAAGATATACTCTGTCGGTTGCTTTTAAATTTTAAAATGGGAACTCGTGCATTTGAGATGAGCTGCAAGCTGGTCCATCCACCTGCAAATTTCTGTTATTACAAAAATGTACTAGGACATAAAAAATAAACTTGCAAATTCCAATGTTCCTTCTTGCATTACTATAAGAGCATAAATTACAATCAAATGACAATTGAAAGGAGACTTGTAGAACCAATTCTGTACCCTATAAAAGTCACAAGTGCGTGCTACATAGATTAATTGTCGCCCAATAGGTAACACTTCCTAGTTGTATTGGTAAATCATGGAGAGTATACATAATAATCACATGATGATTATACAACGATTTGTGGCCCATGCTAGAATTTCTTACATGGCTATTTGATTAACTCAAATAAGCTTCTTTTGTTTTGATGAAACAACTCAACCAAGGTTTACACCAATTGCTTGAGCAATGTGAAGGTGAAGAGAAGGACATTATCAAACTAAAAGAGAAGAGAAATCGATCTTCTTGATGTTTAACAAAGAATTTTTGGCAACAAGTGACAGAAGCTCAACGTATGAGAAAGTTACCTTTCATTTTCAAAGCTCTTAAAAGACACCCCAATAACATTTGTTTATGTTTTCTACCAGCAGATGAAATATGTGAACCATTTGATAACTCAATTGAAATATCCAAGTCACTCCATGGTGTGAAGAGATTGGACACAAACGATCCAAATGGCTCAACAGTTGCTCCTGTTCCAAAAATGGAGTAAAAGTACCACTATAAATACTTGAATTTCATAACTGATGGAAATAAACGTTTTCTCATTTCTATAAGATACAAGAGCCCTAGCCACATCAGAAACTGACTTTCTTAAGATTGGAAAACTTCATGGTAAGTCGCCTGAAAATATATTTTGAGTATTCAAGGTATAACAGTAAGAATGAAAAGCTTAAAAAATTTGTTATGTAAAATATGATAAAATTCATATTGATTATTATTTACTGGAAAATCCCCCAGGCAGATGTGAAGCTTGAACCAAAAATCTGGCATATATTGTTGTTCCTTTCATTGGAAGACAGGAAGAAAAAAAAAAAAAACACTACAGTACTAGAAAAGATTAGAAACAAAAATAATAAAGACGGAAGATATGTTGAAAGCAATCTAAATTTTCAACCATGAAAAATCTCCAAGAACCAGAAGGACTTTGCTAATCTTTTTGATGAAAAAAAGAATAATTATCTAGGACAAACGACTCTTAACAAATTGTATGTCAAAAACCTTTCCTCATAATGAAGATGTTGAATATCAAGAACAAGGAGATTTATAAGTAATCTGTGTGTCTCAACTACACAGCGGAGAGACTATTATATAACTCAAAAGAAAGAAAATACAAAGAGATATACATGATGTGGGACTTCTATACTACTATTCTAAACTATTATTTACAACACTCCCCCTCAAGCTGGAGCATATAAATCATATGCACCAAGCTTGTTACATAAGTGATCTATCCTAGGCCCTCTCAAAGACTTAGTGAAAACATCAGCTAATTGATCAGTTGAGTTAACAAAACTAGTGACTATATCTCCAGAGAGGACTTTTTCTCTAACAAAGTGACAGTCTATCTCAATGTTCTTGGTCCTTTCATGAAACACTGGATTGGAAGCAATATGTAAAGTAGCTTGATTATCGCAAATGAGAGATGTTGTGCCAATGTCTCCAAATTTGAGTTCCTTCAATAATTGTTTTAACCAGATAAGTTCACAGGTGGTTGTGGCCATGGAGCGATATTCTGCTTCAGCACTTGATCTGGCAACTACACTTTGTTTCTTGCTTTTCCAAGAAACCAAGTTACCTCCAAGGAATACACAATACCCAGATGTGGATCTTCTATCACTGGGGGAACCTGCCCAATCAGCATCTGAGTATCCTTCAACTCTGGTATGACCTTTGTTTGTATAGAGGAGACCTTTACCTGGAGCATTCTTGATGTACTTGAGGATACGGATCACAGCATTCCAATGATCTTCACAAGGAGAATTCAAGAACTGACTTACTACACTGACTGCAAATGAGATGTCTGGTCGAGTAACTGTAAGATAGTTCAGCTTCCCAACCAATCTTCTATACCTTTCTGAATCTGAAAATAGCTCCCCCTGATTTGGCATAAGCTTGACATTTGGATCCATGGGGGCATCGACGGGCTTAGCATTCAACAAAGTTGTCTCCTCTAGAATGTCCATAGCATATTTCCTCTGGGATATCACAATACCATCCTTGGATTGAGCCACTTCAATTCCCAAGAAATATCGTAGTCTTCCAAGATCCTTTGTCTGAAAATGATGACTGAGATGTTGTTTTAACTGAGTAATGCCTTGATGGTCATCACCTGTAACGACAATGTCATCAACATATACCAACAAATAAATAGATCCAGAGTCTGAGTGGCGATAAAAGACTGAGTGATCAGCTGCACTCCGAGTCATACCAAACTGCTGGACAATGGTGCTAAACCTCTCAAACCAAGCTCGTGGAGACGAATAGCAGCCATAGTAATAAAGATGCGAACAGACGCCATTTTTGCCACAGGGAAAAATGTATCTCCATAATCTTCACCAAACACCGGAGTATATCCCTTGGCCACCAAACGTGCTTTGAGACGATCCACTTGTCCATCAGGACCAACCTTGACAGTAAATATCCATCTACATCCAACAACAGATTTTCCAGTGGGAAGAGGAACCAGATCCCAAGTACCACTGCCATGAAGTGCACACATCTCGTCAATCATAGCCTGTCGCCATCTGAGATGGGATAATGCCTCACCTGTAGTCTTAGGAACAGATACAGAAGACAAAGAAGAAAGACAAGCAAAAAGTGATGGAAAAAGGCGATGATAACTCATATTTATTGAATACCTGGGTGGAGGACGAATATTACGAGTACCTTTTCGGAGAGCAATGGGTAGGTTAATTTCAGAGGGCGGGACCGAAACCGCAGGAGTTGATGACGGCAGATCTGAGTCCATAGGAACCTCATCAATGTCTTAGGGTATGGGTGGATGTGGCCGACGATGATAAACCTGGAGAGGAGGATCTGGTGCTGGGACATATGGAGAAGTGACAATAAGCGGTGGTGGTGTGGAATCTGGTACAAGCGGTGGTGGTGTAAAATCTGGTGACGGAACATATTGAATTGGAACAGAGAGTAAAGGTAACTGAGTATCAACAGAGTCATCGGGAACGGAGGTGGAGCCAAAAAATGGCACAGACTCAAAGAAAGTAACATCCGCCGAGACAAAAGAGCGATGGAGACTGGGAGAGTAACACCGATAACCTTTTTGTGTCTGGGTGTAACCGAGGAACACACATTTGTGGGATTTGGCAGACAACTTGTCACGATTGGGACCGAGTTCATGGACAAAACAAGTAGAACCAAAAATACGAAGGGGTAATGAATGTAAAGGCTGATGAGGAAACAAGATAGAATACGGTACCTGGTTACCAAGGACAGAGGAAGGCATGCGATTAATGAGATAGCATGCGGTGAGAACAGCATCACCCCAAAAACTAGTAGGAACATTCCCATGAATTAAGAGTGTCCGAGCCGTTTCAATAAGATGACGATTTTTTCTTTCAGCAACCCCGTTTTGTTGGGGGGTGCACATGATGTGTGGTGAAGAATGCCGTGAGATGCCATGAATGATTGAAATGGTTGAGACAGATACTCACGAGCATTATCACTACGAAAAGTGCGGATAGGAATACCAAATTGAATAAGAATTTCATGATAAAACTTCTGAAATATGGAGAACAACTCAGAGCGGCTTTTCAGTAAAAATAACCAAGTGTTTCGAGAATAATCGTCAATAAAGGTAACAAAATATCTATAACCCCGAGTTGATTCAGTACGACTGGGTCCCCAAACATCAGAGTGAACCAAACTAAAAGGAGAGGAGGCATGACGATTGACTCTATTAGGAAAAGAACTGCGAGTATGTTTCCCTAATTGACATGATTCACATTGCAAAGTAGACAACTTGGACAAACGTGGCACCATCTTCTGGAGCTTTGTAAGACTAGGATGACCCAACTGAGCGTGAATAGTGAGTGGAGAATCTAATACAGAATAAGCATGAGAGGAATTGGAGAGCAGGTAAAGGCCATTGGACTCAAATCCGCTGCCAATTGTTCTCCCCGAATTTCGATCCTGTAAAACAACAGAATTTTTGGTAAAAGAAATGAGACAATCAAGAGAACGTATTAAACGGCTAATGGAAAGGAGATTAAAGGGTGAACCAGGGACATAGAGCACATTATCAATAGTAATGGAGGGAAAGAGATGTACTGTTCCAATCCCATGAGACTGAGCCTGGGAACCATTAGCCATAGTGACAGCAGGAAAATAACCAGAGGTAGAAAGAGAGGAAAACAAAGATTTATTACCAGAAATATGATCAGAGGCACCAGAATCAAGAACCCAATTACCAAATGATGAACTTTGAGTGAAACCAGCAACGCTATTACCTGTATGCACAACAGTAGCAATGGAACTAGTGATCGTGAGCCGAGAAATATCTTGAGGAAGGATAAATGAGCTAGAATCAGCCATGGATCAAGAACAATTCGTTGAATCGTGAACAGTAATAGAAAGAGGAGAAATTCTTCGGAAGGGCCGCAACGGACTCGAAACCACAAGGTAAGGATCGATCTGAACACGGAAGGAAAGGGTGATCCTAACGGTGGAAGCCGAGCGTATGTTTCACGCACGTGAGGGTGCTTCAGTCGGAATTTAGGAGCGGGCCTTGGACGGAAAGAACCACCTCCTTGTGACGGTGATCCTAACTGTGGGTGGCTCGCCGGAAAAAGTGCCTGAAAAGTGATCGGTGGTGGCGGTCAACGGTGGTCAAACGGTGGTCCACAACGCTGGCAACCTCTGATGACGGTGGGTCTTGCGGCGTTGGGTAGATCGGCTTCTTCTGAGTCCGTTGATGTACTTTTTGATCAAAACGATCGCCAGAAAACTTTTCCGGTGGAGGACGGTGGTGGCAGACGGTGGCTGGAAACTGACGATGGTGACAGTTTCCGGGAAGATTTTTACTCGGTAGACAGTGGATCTACCGGAAAGATGCGGATCTTGTTAGGCTCTAGATACCATGTTGAATATCAAGAACAAGGAGATTTATAAGTAATCCGTGTGTCTCAACTACACAGCGGAGAGACTATTATATAACTCAAAAGAAAGAAAATACAAAGAGATATACATGATGTGGGACTTCTATAGTACTATTCTAAACTATTATTTACAACAGAAGACAACCACAGCAACCAAGTTCTACTTGGCACACAGGTGCGGCAGAGCCGGAACTAAATTCCTAAAGTGGTTAAAAAATAATTGACTAAGGGAATTTATGAAAAAACTAAACTTGTAGAAGGGTCCAATTATACATAAAGCGTAGAGGGTTTATAAAATTTGGGAGGCCTGCCCTCCCCCCTCTATATGGGCACAAGTCAGCCCCTGGTGCTGGTACATAGCAGTGAGATTCAGCGAAGTAACTTAAATGAATCTTGTATATTGAATAATAAGTTTGAGAATAACCAATGCTAACAAAAGCATTTAGATGAACACAGCTAGCCACTGTCATGCATCTTGGTGCACCACATACAAAAACCATGCCTTTTAGTTGCACTAGAACAAGCTACATTAGCTATCGTAAGATGAAAGAAAGAAAGAAAAAAGAAAAGAAAAGAAAGAAAGAGCATAAATAAAACAAAACAAAACTTGTAGCAAAGTCACCTCTCAGGTTTTGCATAGATTGAACAACTATTCGTAAATCAGCGATGAGGGCAAAGCGCAAGTCCCAATCTTTTTGTGAGGGAGTGACAGCCTGAAGTATATCCTTTAAAACAAGACCCAACATAGATGCACTCATTTGTGTAGGTAAAAAACAAGTGGTTTGCAGCAGTAATGGAACAAATGAAGACTAATAGGATCATAAACTAGAGCATAGGCAATTTGGCATCCCACTCCCGTGCCTATGAAACCAACACCTCAAGCGTGAACTTGAACCAGAAACTCAACATTCAGAGAATTGGTCACATTACCCAGAAGCGGCAACACAAACCAATCAATGAACAGAGTTGAGTCAGGTGACGAGAATAGATGGTTGTTGGCCAAAGAAACCAAGTGGGGTTTTCTTGAAGCTGGTTCTGGTTCTTTAATATTCATTGGAAATGGGTAAATTCCAAATAGCACCGAGATGAAAGTTGAACATGTATGGAACGGTTAGAAAGCTCGGAAATTCACGTTATGGTCATGTTTAAGTAGATTTAATAAGAGAAATGTTTTTCTAATCACGAGATAAATTGTATCATTCAATCCATAAAAAAATAATAGGATCCACTAAAAAGAGAAAAGAGAAATGAAAAAGTGAATCTCACTTATTTTTTTATGTGTTGCATGAGACAATTTATCTTATGCAACATAAGAAAAACATTTCTCATTTAGTAATCATACAAAAGGTAAATTATTCGTGACAAAGGGAAGGAGATAAAAATTATTCATAGGTAATTCCTTATCCTATCAATTTTTTTTTTTACCATCTTACCTATACTAACTCCCACAATTAAAATATAACCGTCCAATTACCGTATATAAGAAAAAGTATAGAATCTCTTCTCATTCATTTTTTTAATGAAATATATAATCATTTGTAACTTCTTCTTCTTCTTTTTTGTTCAATAACAGTTTAAATATGACTAGATACCAATATCCCACTAGGGGTTAATCATTTGTAACTTTTAGCATTGATTCTTCATTTAGGAATTATTAATGAAAGTCTTGAATAAGCAATTGAGAATGGCTTGTTGCTCTTAAGTCCTGCCTTACTCTTATTTTGGAAGTAACTTATTTATCAATAATTAAAGAATAATTTTACATCCTGTTTTAGTAATGTCTTAGGATTTGGCTGGGGTGGTTATTCACCCTTAGCCACACCAAAAAAAAAATGTCTTAGGATTTATTTTTTTATTTTTTTTGGGGAGGGGGTATTAAAAATCATTTGCTCCTAAAAAAAATATCCACATCAATCATTATGTAACTGGGTGAGGGTGAGCACTGAGTAGAGTAATGCATGAAACAAAACAACATTGATCACAACCAACAATAACAAGTCTACTCTTATTTTTCATAATAACAGTTATCCATAGAATTCAAACATTAAGAATTGTAGTCGAGAGATTCACAAAGGTGAAGAGGAAGAGAAATCGCATGGGTCACAATAAATGTGAGAAACAGAGGGTACATGGCTGTTGTTGGTCTTGGTCTTCTTCATAAGTAGGACATGAATTGAGTGAAAAATTGTGAATTCGAGAATGGGTGGCTATTCCCGCACCCATGCACATTCAATACAACAGAAGGAGGAAAAGGAGAAAGAAAACAAAAGTACAAGAAATATCGAGTTCGTAATATTTGAACTAAATTGTAAAGAACCTTGGGATACACCACTCCAAAAATTAGTTCAAATGGTGGGAGTGTCCAAGGCCTTATAAACTCCACATTAGTTGCTCATATAACTAATGTGGGACTACATATCTCAACAAAACTTTAGTTTTTGGGTTGAATTGGTTCTTTACATGGTATCAGAGCCTCGTGTCCCGGGTTCGATACTCACCGTCTCCCACTTTCTCTTGTGGAATTTCTTTATTCGCACAGGTAGGTGTGCCTGTGCATTGTCCACTCTTCAAGCTCAATGAGCTCTCGTGTGAGAGGGCGTGTTGAGATATATAGTCCCACATTAGTTGTATGAACAACTAATGGGGCCTTTGTAAGGCTTTGGGTACTCTCACCTTTTGAGCTAGCTTTTGGGGTGATGTATCACAAGATTCTTTACATGAACATTAATGAACAATATAGAAGATGCTCGACCTACAACTTAGTAATGTGCAAATAAATTGAATTTTAGAGACTAACAAGCTCTTGCGACCTGATGTGAAGAATCAATAAGCAAATGCTTCCTACAATCACTGCCGGAAGTGATATTTACACTGGCATCGTCCTATACTTTGTCAAAATGAGTGTGGTTCTATATTCTATTGTAGGGATCAAAAACCAAAAAAGTGTGTGTTTGGCGCCGTAGGTGCTTATGACAAACCAAGATCCTATAGCTTGCATAAGGACCCTCAGAAGTATCTCGCAAAGTGACTAGCCAGCCCATGGCCTTGCTAATCTCTACAAGCTCATCCACGATGGCAAGAGAATCACGGATGTATGCCCGTCCACCAGGTCTTGGTATCCGATCCATCTCAACCATAATTGATGAGACATTGCACCTGATACAGACAAATCCAACATATTCTAAAGAATCACCGTAAAAGCTCTCCCAACATATACAACTAAAAACACAGAAAAACTTTTCCGGCATTTTATTTGCAATGAGCGTTGATGAAGTCATAACACATGCTCTAAATGAACAACGAAATAAGATAATTACAAATAGAAGTTATTTCTAGATGGATAATATTGACTTGTAGAATCCTAAGGCGTATAAGTTAGAATTTAATGACATTAGTATACGCTTATTTCAGTATATCGTTAAGGCAAATAACGATGAGTAACATATTGGATATCCAAACTTTCTGGATACCCACTTAGGCTTAGCAAGATTGAGCTCCATAACACTAAGCCCACAATCTAGAACCTTATAGAGGATATCCATGGCAAGCCATAGAAGCTCACCACTGGGACATTCTCTTTCCTTACACTGCTCCTGTACACTAAGAGTGGGCAGTATGGCTTGATGAGACAGCTCATGGAACTGACCAGTTGGCTCTCCCATGCAGGAGAGGGCTCTCCTCTCTAAATACCCCCCTCACACATGGAGGGGGGATCTTCTCTTCTACTCTCTACCTATGTTGTTACTCTGCCCCTCTGCAGAACCATCTTGGCCACACACTGTCAAATAAACTAAGACTTCTAAAATGCAATTCTTGTATATTAATTTACCTCAATAGAGGAGTATATTTATACACCAGTAACCAACTACTTCCTATTTTTCAGCTCCTATTATCAGATAGACTAGTAGTCAAAAATAACAAAAATAATCCCTACAAACAAGCTATACAGTTTCAACAACTTAAACAACTAAAGAATGATTTAAATTTTAGAATCTTCCGTTCAACACTCCCCCTCGAGTTGGTGCATGTATGTCAATCACGCCCAACTTGTTGATTGCTGCTTCGAATGCCTTCCCAGACACTGCCTTTGTCAAGACATCTGCTAACTGCTCTTCGGACTTTACATGTGGGACACAAATAATTTTCTGGTCTAATTTTTCTTTAATAAAATGTCTATCCACTTCAACATGTTTGGTCCTATCATGTTGGACAGGATTATGGACAATTTCTATGGCTGCCTTGTTGTCACAATGAAGGGTCATTGGATGCTCATGATTGATCTTCAAGTCTTCCAGCACTCTTTTAACCCATATCAATTCACATACTCCATGTGCCATTCCTCTAAATTATGCTTCAGCACTGGACCTTGCTACCACCTTTTGTTTCTTGCTTTTCCAAGTTACTAAATTCCCCCCTACAAATGTAAAGTACCCTGAGGTAGACTGTCTACTAGATTTGTCCCCTGCCCAGTCAGAGTCTGTATACCCTTCAATGGTGTAATTATTTCCTTTTGAGAACAGTAAGCCTTTACCTGGTGACCCTTTGAGATATCTCAAGATTCTATAAACCGCATTCATATGATCTTCACTGGGAGCATGCATGAATCTACTGACTACACTTACTGCATAAGCAATATCCGGTCTTGTATGTGACAAATAAATTAGTCTTCCCACCAATCTCTGATATTTGTTGATATCTGTTTCAATTTGATCCGGATACACTCCTAGTGTATGATTCATCTCAATTGGCGTATCAACTGGTTTGCAAGCAAGCATGCCAGTTTCAGCCAGCAAATCTAAAGTGTATTTCTTTTGTGATAAGGAAATTCCTTTGTTGGATCTAGCAAATTCAATTCCAAGGAAGTACTTCAGATGACCAAGGTCTTTCATTTCAAATTCAGTCTTAAGATATTGCTCTAATAAATTCATTTCACATTCATCATCTCCTGTTAGAATCATATCATCAACATATACTATTAAGACTGTCACTTTCTTCTCTTTGTGTTTGATGAACATAGTGTGATCTGAGTTACTTTGAGTGTATCCAAACCTCCTCATTGCCATAGTGAACCTTCCAAACCATGCCCTGGGTGATTGCTTAAGGCCATACAATGCCTTTTTTAGTTTGCAAACTTTGTTATTTTCTGGCAGATTTCCTTTAATTCCAGGTGGTATGTCCATGTAAACCTCCTCTTCTAAATCTCCATTCAAGAATGCGTTCTTCACATCAAACTGTTTCAAGGGCCAATCTCTGTTGACTGCAATAGAAAGTAAGATCCGGATTGTGTTTAACTTAGCTACCGGTGCAAAAGTTTCTTGGTAGTCAATCCCATATTTTTGAGTGAACCCCTTAGCAACCAACCGAGCTTTATACTTGTATATACTCGCATCTGCTCTTTATTTGATTGTAAACACCCATTTACATCCTATGGTTTTCTTTCCCGGTGGTAGATGCACAAGCTCCCATGTGGAATTTTTTTGTAATGCTTCCATCTCCACATTCATTGCTTCTTTCCATTTTGGGTTGTCCAAAGCCTCCTGCACACAGTTAGGAATAGATATACTGGACAACAAATCAGTAGTCAAGGCATATGATTCGGATAATCTATGGGTAGACACATAATTATTTATGGGATATCTCACTTTAGACCTGGGGTCAGGTTCATAAAGGGTTTTTGGGATGCCCTTGGTGCTTCTTTGTGATTTTCTGGGTTGAGGATTAGAAGGGGATGCAGATGCAGATATATCTGTAGGAGCAG